AATTAAAATTATGCTCATCATCAAAACAGATATAAATCATATTTACCTGAATATAAGTTAGCTCTGAAGAAAACATATTTTGGCAATAAGTGATAAAAATTAGATCACAGCTAGACAACATTATGTATTTAAGTGCTGTGGTGTTTATTATATTGAAATATTTATTGAAATGTAATGACTTTATGGGTAAGTACATCTGTGCACAACAGTGATGTAGGCCTGAAATATTAAGTCATTCCAGATGTCACCTGTCTAACAAACGAGGGTACTTCTTGGGCCACAAAGTGGAATTGCTAAGAAAACAGTAGATACAAAGTGAGAAATTTGTACCGTTTGGTCTTATTTATGTAGGTGAAAGAACGTTTAGGAAGAAAATCCTGAATAGTGCGTGTTGAAATAGCTACTTCCACAGAAAACATCTGTATCCTGGGCGGTAAGAAACAGATCAACGTCTGTCCCCTAAAGTTGCAGTCAGTGGATTTTATTCCTGGACTGGCTGAAGTGTGATAAAATGGGACCAATGCACCTCTCAGAGTCAGCATGACAAAAGCTGAAAAGCTAAATGTAGGAGAACTTCGTTGGAAAGGTAAATTTGGGATTACAGTGTCCTGACTGGTAAATTAAAGACTCTCCCATTGGGCAGTGTCTTCTAGAAATGACAAATCTTGATTTTTTTGCATACTTGCTTTTTTGATAGATTGAGACATATGATGATGATGATAATCATCAGAGAGAGAGAGAGAATTTCCATTTTAGGGATTCACTATAAGAATTTCATAAAAGTTATACAAAAATTTATATATAAAATTTGATCACTGTATCATTATATTGCACACAACATAGTTAGGGGTTATATATTACATAAATTAAAATATAGGCATGCAATAAAAAGGTATGCAACTGTCTAAAATATGTTGCAGAGGAATATCTTGACATTGAAAATGTGTATTATATATGATTCTAAATAAAAATAGATAAAAATAGGCTCTTTTATGCTTTTAAGTTAATTATACTTGAAAATATATGTAGAGTAAGGAAAACTATACATACAAATTATTAACAATAATCACATTTGGCCATATGTTTCATAGTATTATCAATTTAGTCTTTATGCTTTTCAAAGTAATTTTTGAAAACTTTTTTGAAATGTCAAAATCTCATATGGTTAAGTGCTACCTTTTTCATGCAACAAACTAGACAGCTCTTGAAGCTTTAATCTAAGTTTGATGGGACACAATAACTAACTACATTGTATATTGACAAAATAAAAATTAAAAAAAATAATAATAATAATAAAAATAAAGTTTCTATGGGTTACTGTCTTACCAGGAAATAAAAGAAAAAATGTAAACAAGATAATTAATAAGCTTCTGGGTTTATAAACATAGTTTTGAATAAAAATAATTTACAGTGCCGGAGACCAGCTCCAGTCGAGTTTGCAGGTCCTTGAAAGAGAGATGAGGAAGCCAGCGAAAATAAAAAACACAGACAGAGACCTCAGTGCATCAGTATGCACGTTCTCTCTCTGCG